GAGAAAAACATGTTTCAGCTGCGGCAGGGAGGGACACTTCCGTAGAGAGTGCCCTCAAAATAGTACTACGGGTCTCAAGAGACCTGGTTTATGCCCCGTTGTCGAAGGGGATATCATTGGGCCAATAACTGCTACTCTAAAACTGACTGGGAGGGAAATTTCCTTCCTACTAATAATAATCAGGGAAACTGGAAGAGGGCCCCACCCCAGGGCCCCAAAACCAACTTGTATATTACCCCTGCATCTGGCAGTGGCAGTGACCATGTCTCCAAGCCAGCAGCTTTTGCTGGATGTCAGCATAGACCGAGGAGATAGTCTGGAGCCACGCTTATGCCCGCCATCCTAGAAAAACTGCAGTATAAACAGCCACGGTTTTAACAGATAAGACACGTGGTCAGAAAAACATAAAGATTTACAGTAAAGTCAGACTCGGATGAAGAAAAACCTCTGAAGGTTTACAGTGTGTTTAAAAATATAAGTAGGAGTGAGAGAAAAAAAAAACAACATAGTGTTAAATAGAGAGACCGGGCGTTGGCAGCACACACCTTTAATCTCAGCACTTGGGAGGCAGAGGCAGGCAGATCTCTGTGAGTTCGAGGCCAGGCTGGACTGACAGCCTCAAACAATACAGAGAAACCCTGACTCAAAAAAAAATTTGGTAACAGTAAAGAGGTACTGGTATTAAGTAAAGAAAAAGAAAAAGACAAAGGTATATGGAATGGAAAATTTTGTTTACATTTAAGTTCTATTTTGTGAGTCATCTCTAAAAACTTTTGGCCAAAAGCCTGGCCTCTCTACCTTGCATCTACAGAGTTACAAGGAGTAGGTACGGCTGTACCCCATGACTGTAGCTCAAATGGAGGAATGATAAAAACATATAGGACTTTTTAACCTTTTTAGTTCAAGGATTGGCTGGAGTTGTTCTTTTACATAGATTTCAATTAAGGAAGCTTCATTGCAACAGACTAATCATGACCTAGGGAAAAAGGATGACTGAAAGATGCATGTATGTTCTGAATGTATGGTGTGGCCACACCGGTATGTATGAAATGTGATTGTGAATGCGTGAGTGTGAACTGATTATATGATTAAAAGGATACTTAAATCCCTTCAAAAATAGTTAAGAAGCTACCTAGATTGTGTTAAATATAGCCAAAAGGAACATCCAGCCAGTCTGTTAATGTTTTAACAGAAAAATTTAAGATACAAATGAGGCCTTGTCAGCTAGTGAGAGTTCTACAGGTTAGATTGGGAAAGACTGCTCACAGACTTCAAATAATTTTCAAAAGTTATTTAGTAAGCCCAATTTACCTAGATAGTTAACCAAGGAGGGTAGACAAATCCTTCTACTGTTATGGTCCAGCTTCAACAGTTCAAAAAAGAAAATTTTTTAGAAAATAAAAAAGGGGAATAATGCCCCCAGTCCCCACATGACTCATCAAATAATACACTCCTCATTTAAAAATTTTATAATGTGAATGCCAGTGAGCTTCAGACAGATTCTGGCATGATGGAACTTGAGCAACCATTGCTCAGGTCAAATGGAGACATCCATGCACTAGACAGTGGAGAAGACCCTAATTTGGGGTCGAGGGCATGTTTGTGTTTTCTTGCAGGAAAAGAATAAAGCTTCGGCAGCTGTCAGACCAATTAGTGAGATGCATGGAGCAGAGAAAAACTGGACCTGAGACCATGGGAGCCTACCTAAGCCAGTTTGAGTGAGATCTCCTAAATCAGTGTTCCTGACCCTTGATGTCATCGAATCTACAGCCCAAGAAAGAAAGAAAACAGTCAGTTCGAGATTTCCAGTTTCTCAACAGACCTGCTGCATTAACCTTCCGGACCCGTGAGTTTTCATCCCGAAGCCAACAAAGAACTGGAAAGACTAACTGTCTGCCCTTGACACACCTTGAAACAACAGAATTCATTTTGCCAGTTTTCCCTTTAGGGGAAAAAAGGACCCATTTAAAATATTTGGACATTGATATGGACTATGAGTGGCAAAAGCCTCTTTTCAGTATTTGAACAGGACATGGTCACTTGAAATACCAGACTTGATGGTTCCTGTTTCTGGAATCACGACTAGGCCAGTGTATTTTTCTGGAGAAATGCAACTTGTCCTAATGTGACAACTATTGTTCATATTTTTCATAATGCTACATGTGTAACATCAATGATTGTGCCCAATGTATCTGTGCAAGTGCACTTTCTAAATGCTTTCCTGAGCAGATCTTAAAACGATTGGAAACTTTATCAAATTGTAAATGTAAATCACATGCGGGTTACCCTTGTAACAGATGAAGGCTGGTAGAATGTTATGGCCCAGATCTGGTGATGGGTATGGTGATGGAGAGGCGCTATGTCAATGGGGGTCCTGGAAATGGTGGCAGTGGCGGTAGGCATTCTGGCTTTATGCCAAGCTCAAACGTGCCTTGTTCCAGAGACAAGAGATCCGTAACCAAGTATTGCTTAGCTTAGCCCATGGCAATCCCGATAGCCATGAAGGTTGGTTACAGATGATTTAAGGTTGGGGTATCTCCGATGACGGGCAACCTGTGGGGAAGACCCCTCCCACCTAAAACAGGGGTTCAAGGTCCCCCAAAGACGGGAAAGGGAGGGTGACCCTACTTGACCTAAGCCAGGAGTGCCTCATTTGAAAATAAAAAGGGGTGAATTGTGGGAACACCAGACCTTGAGCAGAGACCCACTTCCCCTTCTGCCTGGGAGTAGGCAGCTATAAGACAATGTTTAGTAAAAACATGTTTACTAAAAACGATACAATAAGTTCCTGGCCACTTCCCCTTCTGCCTGGGAGTAGGCAGCTGTAAGACAATGTTTAGTAAAAACCTGTTTACTAAAAATGATACAATAAGTTCCTGGGAAAGGCCTTCCCACGGAAACCGCCCTGACCTCGACCTTGTCCAGAGACTAACCGCACCTTCAAAAACCCACACACATCCACCTCTGGTGTCAGAGCAGAACCAGCGAGGGTAGAGGAGAGAGCAGAAGCTTCTCTGGTGGGAGCTTTTTCTTAGGAAGTTTTTCTTGAACCTTTTTGGAGCCTGTTTAAAGTTCTCTTTATATCATTGAACGAGTCTCTGTGTTATCAATACCCGACACCCTCCGCACGTTCTCGGACACAGGCCGCGCAGCAGACGTGACACTCCCTCAGGCTCTATGCTCTGAGTCAAGGGACTGTCTATAGGCAGCCACTATACTGTGTTTGCTGATCGTTTTGTTTGTCTTCACTTATTAAATGGGCACCATATCCCATTTTCAGAAAAGCCCTGAATTCCTCAGGTGTATGTTTAGTGTTTGAATTGTTTAACATGATAATATGATGAAAAACAAAAGCCTCGCAAAGTTGAAAACTTTGACAAAGGAAGGGACAAATGATCCCTTAGTCCCTTTGCTGCTTAGGCTGCCTTGAACAGAGTTCTTCTGTGTAAACTAGAAAAAGGTGAGCCTGCTGGAAAGCTTCAGACCTGTAGAGCTTTGGATGAGTGAGCAAGCCCCATATTTAGCCAAGGAGAAATAGGTACCAATTCTCTAGGTAGAGGAAGACCTACACCCAGATTCCAACCCCCATGTATGAGGCATTCTCGCATCCCCCATTCCAACAGCCCCAGCTTTAGTCTGGTCCTGTCTGCTATAATTCACTCATCACAGGATCATATCTGAGCCTCTTTTTTGCCCAAAGATAAAGAGGGAATTTAATTGCAATTTATATGGCTTTCTTCAATTCCCAAAACAGGAAAAAATCAAGTGGGATTTTCCACTCCTTTGGGAACAGGACTAAGTAACGTATGGACTCGAATTTCTGAGTTTGGCTGTCTTAAGTCATCTGATGGCACTCCCTAAATATTTGAATGAAATTATGCATGGTTTGATGTGGAGCAGATTAAAAAAAATGAATGCTTCAGTATATCCTCGATGTTCCAGGTGTAAAGCAACACGGCCAACCAGCAGAACAGGAACAGCCACTCCCTGCTGTCAAGGTGGCACAAGATGAGATCTCACACAACAGCGGTGTCTACAGAGGCCTTTACCCATTTCCTACAGGCTGAATGGCACACCCCATGCTGAAGCTGCTGCCTCTCCCTGGCCATCAGCACACCCAGGAAACATGAACCGTGAGGAGCCAACGACCGATTTCTTTGTTGACTTCTTGTTACCAGAAAACAGAAATTAGTCCTTGCCCAGATCTGCCTCTCTTCAAGTCTGAGTGCCAGCAAATGCTTCGCAGTAGAGAGCAAACAAATAATCATCAACTTCTTCACATCTCACGGACTGGTAACCTAAAGTTGAGTTTAACGTTTCACAATAGCATACACCTGCAGTGACCTCATTTGCAATTCTCAGATGTTAGCAAAAAATGTTTGCTCACATTCGTTAATATTTCTAAAATTAGCCTTGCTATTGGTTTGTATCTTAAGCAAGGCATAGGGTTTTAGAAACAATTATAATTGATTTTACCACTTTCAGAAAAGGAAACTGGAGCGCAGAAAAAGGAAGGGAGTGACTCTAGGTCACTTGGGAATCGCATGCTTTTTCCATTCTTCCACAACAGAGAAGCAACCAGAATTCTGGGTTGGTAGGGAAAGGCTGATAGCACACAGCCCTGCAGTTGAGTTTCTCAGTTTCAGAAAAATAACATTCTTAGGACTAACCAGATGACTAGTGGCAGATAGTGAACCTTACCTTTACCAATGCACGTTGCACTAGTAGGTATGTCTCCCCTTGGCTAGACATGCCACAGTTCCCAGAAGCTAGGAGAAGACCTAAGGCCAAGCACTGCCTCTGTGGTGAACCCCTACATCTTTACGTTCTCTGGATTAACACTAACTTACTAGCTGGTTCTTTTCCTTCCAAAGCAAGCAGTCTGCTTTCTTGTGGACCACTCTCTGCGGGCAAAATGTCATGGTCCACTGCTCTCGTGTTATCCTGGATTGTTACAAACCACCAGCAGAAGGGAAGATGGACATTTGTGAGAAGACACATGCTGTAACACGGCTCCCTTTATTAAACAACTGAGACACAGCTTGCCTCTGTAAACTGACAGCAGTTCTGGCAAGAGGCTGCCCAACAGAGGCAGACCAGGAACAGCCTGTGAGAAGGGTTTCTGCTTTTTTACCAACAGCAGCCCCTCTGCAGCAGCTGAGCAATAGCACCTGAGGCAAGGGGATTAAAGGTGCTCTTCCATCATCACTGGGAGAATCTGGGCTGCTGGAACTTCTACGGGACTGTTTAAGGACAACTCGGAGGCTGCCCCTTGCAGCCTTTAATCCCAGCCCTTGGGGGACAGAGGCAGGAGGATCTTTGTGAGTCTGAGGCCATCTTGGTCTACAGAGGGAGTGCTAGGATAGCCAGGGCTACACAGAGAAACCGTGTCTTGAAAAACTAAACAGAAAAAAAGGAAGGAGGGAAGGAAAGAAGGAACGAAGGAACGAAGGTAGGAAGGAAGAGAAAGAAAGGAAGGAAGGAAGAAAGGAAATACCAGTCCTCATAGTCCATGAAGGCCCTGGCAAGGAGCTCTGTGTCACAGTCCTTATCCCTCCCAGTGGTGGCTTCTTCAAGTCTTAAAGATGTTTCTGCTTGTGATTCAGGTTCCATGCAGACTCTGTTTAGGGCTCCTCAGACCCAAGCCAAGCTTGCTGTGAAGAGGCTATACTCTCAGTCATCAGCACCATGAGAGGCCACAGGGAAAGGCAGCAAGCCAGAGGCCTGAGACTAATTCACATACTAACTTTAGACCTGTGCACAAACACTCTAGCTGTGGGGCTGCTGAGAAGCAACCTATTGTGTTGAGATTATGAATGTGCAACAAATTATTCTAGTATAGTGTGTGTGTGTGTGTGTGTGTGTGTGTGTGTGTGTGAGAGAGAGAGAGAGAGAGAGAGAGAGAGAGAGAGAGAGAGAGAGAGAGAGAGAGAGAGAGAGATTGTCTATCTCGAATGTATGTTTGGGTGTGTTTGGTGTATGTATCTGTGCCATGTTTGGGAATCTACGCAGTGTGTGAGTGGCATATGTGTATTTCTATAGTAGATCAGTGTTGCTTACTATGTTTACCTGCGTGGCAGGCAGAGTGTGTGTGATGTGTGTTTGGGGATGTGATTGGGCTCTGAATGATGAATGGAAGAAAACCAAGGACATGAGGAAGGCAAAGAGATCAGAGTTAGGAACAGAAGGGGGATCTGGCAACTCATAGTATCCTATTAATTTATACCCTGGTTCTGTACAAAAATAAAAAGGTTCTTATAAGATTAGCAATTTAAATAAATATTCAATAAAACACTCTCTTTTCTATAGCTCATCTTTGGGGTTAATATTCAGTCCATGCTTCCCATGCTGTTCTTGATCCAAGATGGCAATCACTTCATCAGCCTGTATCCGCTCCTGCAAAAAGACAATTGACACATTCTGGTATAAACGTAATAACCAGGCCCACAGCAGATGCTTCCCCAACACTTCCAGCCAGCCATCTGTGCACAGTCAGGGAAAGCTTACTTCATCCAAATTGGCGCACTCTCCATACATCCCCATGTCTTACACAATTACCTTTCAAGCGGGCTCCTCATGAAGCCTCGTCCGATTACCAGCTTTCTGCCCTTTCTGTCTCAGGAACCTACCACCATCTCCTATTCAACTCAGTGTTTAGACTGAGCTCACCATTTTCTCCCCTCAGACCTGTCATACTTTTCTACAAGACTTCTATGTCTCAGAAAAGAACCCTGGCCCTGGTCTCCCGCACTTGGTATACCTCTTTGCCCTGACTATTGTGTGTCCTGTTTCTGTCCCTATCTCTTCAAGGGGCATGACTGTTGGCTTGATTAAGTCATGACATTTTAGGGCATGTGTGTGTGTGTGTGTGTGTGTGTGTGTGTGTGTGTGTGTGTGTGTGAATGTGTGCGCACAGTGCGTGCACGTGTATAGGATTTGCCTGGGTACTGCAGATGTTAACATCCCTGGTATACAGAATGTCCCCACATCGTGAGAACTATGGATGTGTCTAGATGTTGTGAAATGTTCCCTAAATAGCTAAGCGCTACATCTTAAGTACAACTTCTTCAGATCCTTCTCAGTAAGTACTCTAGAATAAGTGCTCTAGAAGGTTCCAAATAAATTTCACTCCTCATTCAGGCTCCTAGTGGACCTTCTCCCTCAAGGAAAACTCCAACACTGTTCTATGCGAGGCCCACAAACTTCTGTTGGTTGCAGGTTCTGTTTTCTTGGTGGGCTGTCAGGTTTTTGAAAAATGCACCCCTTTCAGTCTTCTCCAGTTATAATGTACCCTGCCTCTCTGCTCACTATAACACAGCTCTAGATTACTCCACTGTCTTTGAGTGTTCATTCTTAAAACAGTTACCCAGCTCTAATCTGGTCAAAACACTTCCCAATATGCTCCCAGTATTGCCTGTATGTATTTCCTTTCCTCCACGTGTGGGGCCAGTGGGTTTTCCTCTAAACTTCACAGGCAAACTTCCCCATCATTTATTCATCTAATCTAAGCCCATGTGTTGGCTGGAGTCATCTTTTCTTTCCAGTCATTCACTGGGGAGTGGAGAGTGGGTGAAATAACTTCTTAGCAACTAGAATAAAATCCATGTGCCTTACTATGAAATATAAAATGTGAGCCCTACCTCCTTTATATCCTCACATCCATGTAACTCTTCCCTTCCATAAAACCTTCTGTTCTAACTACTCTGACCTTCTTTTTGTGGGCTGTGTGTTTTTTGTTTTCTTGGTGTTGGAATTGGACCCAGGAGGTGTGTGATCTGAGACAGAGCTTCCCCTCAGCCCATTTTTGTTTCTTGACTACTCTTCTCCAAACCTCTTCTTATCTCTGGCCTTTTGAAAGTTGTCCTCTGCCTGGAATACTTCTCCCTGTGTGTTCCTTTTCAATGGCTCATCCTGCGACCCAGTGTGTAGTTTACATGCTTCTCTTAAAGGGAAAGGGACCTGAGTGTCGGGACGGATTCTACAAGGCATCTGACATTTTATGTGTGTATATTATTGGATACTTCTTCATGAGCACATGCTTGCTTTATTGATTGATTGATTGACTGATTGGTTTCTTGAGACAGGCTTTCTCTGTGTAGCCCTGGCTTCCCTGGAACTCACTCTGTAGACCAGGCTGGCTTCACATGTAGAGATTCACCTGCCGTTGCCTCCTGAGTGTTGGGATTAAAGGCGTGCACCACCACCACCCATTCAGATGTGTGTGTGTATAGTGTGTATACACATACATACATACATACATACATACATACAAACATACATGCATACATACATACATACATACATACATGCTCTGTAACTCAATGTTGTTGGACAGGCTTTCTTCGTGGATCCAGTCTAAGTCAGAGTTTAAACCAGAGGATCCCAAAGTTTGTTACATATTTAACCTGCTGGTGCTGAAATAACGCCCCACATAATTAGATCTGAACATCTGAAGGTAGGAATCGGGCATTAGTGTTCTTATAGCCACTCAGGTGATTCCTGGGACTCACAGTAGAGGAGAAAATTTTCCATTAGCAACACCGAGGCTCTTGCCATTTCCTACAGAAGCCACTAGATGCCGCTACAGCCTGAAGCGTGGAGCAGTTTCTTGGTATTTATCCAAGAGGCATGAACACTCGTGTTGATGTATCCTGAGTAGGACTGAGCAGAGTCCTACTTGCATTAATGATTTCAATAACATGCTACAACGCATTGTGAGGACCTGATGGAAGTAAAATGATACCAAATCAATACTAAAACCAGGGGCTGATTTCTCCACAATTGGTTGTTGAACCTTGAGGTGTGGGAGTGGTGCTGGCATTTTGGAGATCAGAAACTCAAGGAAAGAGTGAAGGAGGTGAGGGTGAGGGGGGCTGCTGAGCATCCCAGGAAGTTTTCTGGGCTCTGCTGAATCTCTCCATCAGCGTCGTCCTTGCCTTTCTGAACCAGGCTGTCATCATCTTCGTGTCTGAGATAATGCAAGCTGTCCTTACTGTCCCCCTTCAGACACTCCTGCTGTGTACTCCTTCCCCAGCTCTTAAGTCCCGGCTTCTTGTGTTCACCTCTGCACCCGAAAGCCATGTCTAGGCAGCAAAGACGTGCTTCGAGAGAGTGGGCAAAAAGGAAGTGTGTTTCTGACTAAGGAAAGAGGGCTATTTCTAAACTGCTGCTACTGAAGCTGGATTCAGTTTCCAAATTTAAAGGGACAAATATGGCATCATTTTAAGAACTTCAGAGGCTTGGAGATGACCTGGCTCAGACGCTTAGGGCTCTTGCAGAGGACTGGTGTTTGCTTGTCAGCTGCCATTCTCTCTCTCTCTCTCTCTCTCTCTCTCTCTCTCTCTCTCTCTCTCTCTCTCTCTCACACACACACACACACACACACATACACACACCATCAAAACTAAGTACATCCTTAACTGGGTTCAGCACACACCTTTAATCCCTGCACTTGGGAGGCAGTGGCTGGAGGATCTTTGTGAGGAACTCGGTGAGTTCAAAGCCAGCCTGGTCTACAAAGTGAATTCCAGGACAGCCAGTTCTACAATGAAAGATCCCGCTTCAACAAGGGAACACTCAAGGGAAAATGTAGAATGCCATCTCTTCATCCGCACTCATTCAGGTCTTGGGGAGACCTTGAAGCTACCAAGCAGACTTTTGCTGTTGGCCTCAGGTCCACCTCTTTGAGTCACCACTTCAATCCATCTCATGACCTTGGGTGGAGCTCTGATCCTTGTCTGCAAGCTGACAACCCCACTGAACCTAGGTGAGGACTTGGAAGTTACTCCCTAAAACGAACTTGGCTGTTTTCTCCCAGGAGTTTCTTCTCTGTCTGCTGGCCCGACCTGCAGGCCTCTTCCTAACCATATTATATTATGGGCCAATATAATATTCTTTTAACATTCAACTTAATAATTTAACAAATATTAAATGTCATCTAGGTCTCCTTATTCTTCACCACACAAGTTTAGTAAACTAGTCAGTGATGTTTTGATGATTTTCCAACCTTTCTAGTGATTAGGAGAAAGCCCTTGGCTGCCAGTGGTACCGTGGGTCAGTGTGCTCAACACTCAACATTTGTAGTGACAGCCAGGGTGCCTAATGGGTCTATTTCTGCAAATGCCTCCGTGGTTAGAACTCAACTGGGTAAGAGCTGCCTTCACAACACCTCTCCTTCTCCCCAGATGTCACTGCAGAAGTCACCCCAGGCTTAGGAACCATGCCAAGGATTTTTCAGAGGTCGCTCCAGGGAGCAGGGTGCCTTTTGCACAGCTGCAAACTCACCACTTCTCTGTAAAGAGGGTCTAGGGTGAACCACAGTGCCACAGCACAGCGCTGGCCTTTGGTGACCGCCTTCACCCCGTGAGGGTTCTCTCCACCTGAAGAGAAGCTGATCATCCGTCCACACTTGGGTTTAATAGAGGCCTGGCAACAAAACGAAAATCAGGTTTTCAATCCCTGTACCATGGGTCCTTCCTTCTGAGCAACGACTTATTTGTGTTAAATTTTGAAGCAAAGAATGATGGGATCTTAGTGTTGAAAATACATTGTAAAATATAAATATAAAATACAAATCATTTCAAAACAATTTACTTACATAATGCAACGACTTAAACAATATGTGTGGCACATCCCATGTACATAAGAATCACATGGTGATAACCTGGCCGTTGAAGAACACACACCCGCCACGGTAATGCACTCCCATAGCCTACGGTATTATCAATTCATTGATTGTGAAGGTGGTTGTGCATTTTAACATCTATGAAATCAGAAGGAAACCAGAATATGAGGTGTACCAGAGAACGTTTACTATTGCCCTAGACCACAATTGCATGGTTGTACACCCTCCTAATTCTCCAACTGTACACCTATGGTTTGTGTAGCTGTAGCAACATGAAGATTTGGATTCGTTTCCTTTACATTATTCCTGTGCAGGGCTCAGACAGGTATCACTTGGCTACCTCCAGAACGAGAACACACCAGCGCTCGGGGTAACCGACGTGTGGCTCTAGAGATTTGAAATGACTGATACGATGATTTGAAATGTGCGCACTGCTGAGCTGTCCACCGACCTTTGGCAGGACAGTATAGTGAAGGAACACACCGCCGAGGGCGCTGGGCTGCAAAATGGACAAGAGGCTCTTCAGGCTGGGCAAGTGTAGGAGACTGAGTGTTAGAGACCATGGCCCTGTGCTTCAAAGGGTGTGGAGAGAGACTGTGGACCATTTGTGTCCTTCAGGAAACGATGAAAGCATATTCATCCCATTGAACCTGGACAAGCGTAGCCAATGCACAATAGCAGCTGTGGCCGCTGTGTATGTGGGAGCCCGAGAGCTTTGTACAGCCATGATACCCTTTCATCCTAACCTTCCAGAAGCATGTTTGAATTTTTATAGTCCTAGGACGCTACAGAGATTTACCCTGGTGCTGTGACTATTTGTAGGAAGCCGGAAGTAGGCAAAACTGAAATTGAGACGCCCCCCCTCCTGTGTGTGTGTGTGTGTGTGTGTGTGTGTGTGTGCATGTGTGGTGAGGGGTCATGCACATGTGTGCAGGTGTCCCTAGTGGCATGGGTCCCCTGAAACTGGTGCTGTGAGCCCACCTGGGAACCAAACTCTGTGTCCTTGAGTATCCAGTATGGAAAGGAAAAAAAAAAAAAAAAAAAAAAAAGGAAACGTGACCATTTTTCTTGAGGTTGGAAGAAATTTGTTATGGAAAAGGAGGGAAATGGGAATTCTTCATTTTTAAGAATTCATACCTGATTATTTTCACTATCTACAAAAGCTCTAAAAGTCTGCTACATGAATAAACATGAAGTGCCATTGAGTTTTCCATCAAAAGCTTTTCATTTTTTTATTCCGTTTTTGGTGGGAAGTAGATTCTGGGTTTTGTGGGATGCCTCAGTAATTAGAACTGTAGAACTGTGAAATGAGAAAGCCTCTGCTTTCACAGATAGAAGCAGCAGGAGAGCACTTAACTTAGACTTAGCAAAGAATGGAACTGAGCGACAAAATGCCAGACCCTGCACCATCAATCATTGGGCACTTCCAAATACGGCCACTAGATGGAGTAGAGGCAAAGGAATCTTCAAACATCTGATTTTTTTTTCTTCTTTTTTCCTTTCAAACTGTTTAAGAAGTGGCCATTTTTCTTCAGTTTCCATGTTTTCAAAGCTTGAAAGCAAAATATTTTCCGCACATAGTTCTTCTAAAAGTGAGAATCCTTTAGAGGTATTTAAACTCCAGTCGGGTCCATTAATCTTGGTTTATTTTACTCAGCTTAGGAAACCCCAAACCACTGATATTTTTTTTCAAACAAAAAACGAGGCAACATATTGGTTTAAACATACACCACCGTACTCAATTTCATGAACTATTTTAAATTATAACTGTGTTTCTGTCTACTCTCCCCACAATCCTCATTTAAGCAAATGATATATAGCTTGGGATATACATTGGTGGTCCCTGAACAACCATGTATATTTCACTATGGAAAAAAAATGTGCAAGCTAAGACTGAATGGACAAACATGGGGAGAGTTTTGGAATTGCTTATATAATGCCAACACTTTGAAGTTGCACATGTCCCAACTACTTGGAGTTTTCAGGAAGAAAGAAGTCTAACAATCAACTTACCATTCGTTAAGTTCTTCATTTGAGACTTAGTGTTCTCATGGTGTGTTTGATCTTCAGCTTAAAGATCCAAAGAGTCTACCTATAAGGTCAATAAGTGCTAAGGAGGCTGCTGTATGAGGCATCGGCTTGCTTATGAATAAAATGGTTGGCTGTGACTTTTGATGTAAATATTTGTGAGTATAAATACCCATGGGGGGATGAAATTTCATGGCTTGAACTTAATAACATATACCATTCTGTATGCACACGCATTTAGAAGTTCACACTCAATCTAATCTAAACACACTGGCTACTTGAAGCCATCGACTTGTCCCAGACCTAAGTGCCTTAGTAACGGACGCTTGAAGCTTCCCATCAGAGCATCTGACGGAAGCCCAGAACCTAAGCCAGTGGTTCTCAATCTGTGGGGTCACAGATCAGATACTGCATTATGATTCATAACAGCAGCAAAATTTTAGTTATGAGAAGCAAGGACATGATTTTATTTGGGGGCCACCACAACATGAGGAACTGTGCATAGAGATACAGTGTTAGAAAGGCTGAGAAGCACTGCTCTAGGCTTTGATTCCAGCTCTAACATTATCTGTATGATTTCGATTAAATCCTTAAAATCCCTTTCTCAATGTGCACGTCTTTAAGATGACTAAAACAGCAGCATATGCTTAATATTTTGTATTGACTTATTTTCTTTTTTATTTCTTCCTTTTTTATTTAAGTTAGAAACAAGCTTGCTTCACATGATAATATTTTTATTATCTATAAATCACCAGAATCCTTTCTTTCCGGAATTCTTAAGTTCAGAAGTATTTGAAATCCAGCAACCTGCAAGATGTTGGGAAGATGGTAATACTGAAGTCAAAATTCTACATAACCTTTTAGGCTTACTTACAGTCACAGTTTTAGCGTCCATTTCAGTGAAGATGAACTCTCCTCCTTCAAAGTCGTCATTCATATACAGGAGTGCACTATAAGGAAAGGGGGACCCATTCAAATGACAATATATTCTTCAATGGTATCACTGTAAAATATTGAAGACTATGGATGGTAAGTTGTCTTTGACACTGACTCACCAAACCCTTGAAATTCAGCTCACGGAGAGCCTAGGTTAATTTCCTGACATTTTGATTCCATTTACCTGTGGTTTTAGTGTCAATTTAAACTCACTTTACACTGTAAGCCCTCAGTTAGGGTTTTTTTTCATATAGCCCTTAAGCTCATCCACACTGCTTAGAACTCTCTTCCTCCCACAGAGAAAAGTTCCTGAGAGGATGGAATTTTCCTTCCTTAGCTTAGTTAATGCATTGCTTGCGAGCTAGTGTGACCAGCAGATAGGGCCTACTCTCTAAATGTTTTGAATCAAATACGATATAGCAACAACTGACATGCTATTAAACATGCATAGTGACTATATACTAAGCTATGCTGTTGCATACTAGGATATCTTCTCTTGATGTACTAACATATCTCCTCATACTATACAACGGTATTCCCTTTTGAGTTTCTATTTTCCTAATGAGAAAATGCAGACATAGTTCTTGGAGAATGTGAATAATACTCATGTGTGTGATAAAGTGTGATAAGTATGTGGGGGAGACCACGCCCATGTGCTTCCTCTCAGAGTGGGAATCACATGCAAAATGATACATATGCCTTAGTGAAACACATTCGCCTATAAATCGAGTTGCCTGCATCAAAGGAGGTAATGTGTTCATGATGGTTAGGGTAAAAGAGAGAAGGCTTGTTCTCGGGTCATGGCTGCTGTTCCAGGTAACTCCTAGAGATCTCAGCTTCACAGAGATGAACAAGGTAGCAAAGCAAAGCAGCCTCGCTTTCCACAAAAGCTTTTCTAGGAGCCACCCTACCTATAGTCCCGGAAAGTGTACGCAGGAGGCTCCTTCCAGCATTCATTGGCTTCCGGATCCAACAGGCAGTTGTCCGCATGAATGGGATGACTGAGGTCGTTTCTTCTATCCTGCTGCCCTGCCAGAAGAAGGAACAAGGATGAGAGCAGCATGAGCAATGAGAGCAGAAGACACCCAATGTGCAACACCAAGAGGCACACTTTAACCGTCTTCCTCAGTCGGTGCAATGCCGGACAGACTGAAGGCAGTGAGTGCGGTGACCGAAATGACACCAGTCAAGGGACTGCTGAAAGGACACCCAAGAGACTCCTGTGGTTGGACAGAAACTGAGTATGAAAATCTGGCCAAGCCACTCCTGTCTTTTCAGGTATAATGGGTGGAATGCATACACCTGGGGAAATCTCATGCATTTTATGGGTTGAGTTGCATGTGTGGTAGCAAAAGCCCTGGGAATAAATGGAGATGGAAACTAAAGGTCTTGCCTCACTCTCCCCACGTGTAAAGTGCCCTCACATAGATTTCTTCCCACCCCCACCAAAACCTGACAGTAAGCAGCAGTGAGGGGTGCTTGCCCCTCAGAACACTCTTCAGTGAGCCCCTCATTGTCTGCACCTCCGCTCTCTGTTTGCAGACGTAACTGTACTTTCCAGCCGCCTAGGTCCCTGAGACACAGAGCAGAAAAGCATTCTTTTCCCCGAATGTCCTAGCAATTATGAGAAAGGGTTTTGAAGACAGAAAATGTACAGAATGAGCATCTAACAGAACTTCAGAAGTCTAAGGGGGGAAAAAGAAAAGAGTAAGTGCCTATTGTTTTGGAAGTCTGCCATTTTCATACAGTATCACTGCAGAACATAACAGAGCTTTACTGCGGACTGTTTTCTTTCCTGTGGCATTCAGGGAAGAAGGGGCAAGTTCAGGGTCTGGAAACCTACCAGACAAGGCTGTTCTGCAGACCATGTGTGTATAGGAAAAATACAGGGTTGAGTTCAGCATGAAATAGGATTCCACAATCTTCCGAGCTTTCTCGCTGATGTCATAGAACAAGCGTGCACTCTTTAGTGGCACTCGGCCTTCATAGCCAAACTGAGAAAACAAAACACCGAGAGCATTAGAGACCACGGGGTTGCCTGGAGGGCTAGAGACAAACAAGCTCTAGGCTTCATGAAGAGAATAGAGACTGACTATCTCTGCACTAACTAAAAGGAGTAATAAATAACGCGTATTTGTGGGTTCAGATAGAACCATGAGCCTCTGAAACAACTCCTCCAATGGAAGAGCTAATGGTCAAAAGCTAATTGCTGTCACCTTCCTCTCCTATAATATATTCTTCATTCTCTCATAATACTTCTTGAGAAGGGAAGAGTTACTGATTTGGGAATGCTTTCATCATTAGCATGAGAGCTCCTTGAGGATAGTGGTTGCAAAGTTTTTGGTGAGATACGAGCTTGGGAGCCATGAAGCTTGGTAAATGGACGCTGGAATGAGGGAATCACCAGAAACAGCAACATGGCTGGGGATATGGTTCCCAGGCAAAGTGTGTGCTGAGAATGTCCCCTAGCACAAAGGACAAAACCACCCTCCATTTCACAGCTGCCCCCTTCTGAACTCTTCTCCCTGAATCTGCCCTTCACAGAGGTCTCCCTACCCCACCCCCTACCCCATCATCCCCTAGGAACCCAAACTTAAAGAAGGCAAAGGATTTACTTTGAGTGCTTTCAAGACAGTAGCTCCTTCAAACTTTTCATTGGGTGTATGGGGCGACGTTTTCCCTCGGTAGCCATCACCAACAAGCATGATTCCCTGAGGACAAAATGCATTCAAACACTCCTTTAGTGACAAGCAACAATGCACCAAGGCTTCCTTTCTGCTTTGGCTTCCAGAAGCTGGGAAGCGAAATCAACACTCAGCACCATTTAACCACAGGGTTCAGGTATAATCAATTCTAATTAATGGAGTATTTTTTCTTTATCTTCATTATAAAATACTACTTTTTAAAAACATACATTTATTATAAATTATTCATATATTGGCTAGTCACTTGGTTAAAATAGAGGGATTTCTCCAGTGACTTCTATGGGAGACAGGGCAGCTGCTGGATGGCTACTAAGTCGTGGGAGTTTCACATCATTCCAACATAAAAGCTATGAAAGTTCATCCACAGTTATTATCTTCTGCCAGTAAGTGAAACTCTAATTCCTTAACGTTGCCCTCCAGGCTTAGGACACTCTGGGAGGGGGGCTGCCCTCCCCCAGGACACTGTCCTCAAGACTGAAGACAGACAGACTGGCAAAGGGGCTTTTGTCCTCTCCACCATTGCCTCAAGGCTCAAGCTGGGCTAGCAAGGAGGTCTCCCCTTCCCAGTGCTCACACTGGCCACACTGTGTAGCTCCCGGCACTGCTCTTCCGATAGGACGTTGTCTAGGAGAACCCGCTGAGTCCCGTTCAGCTGTTCTGAGTTGTAGACAAAGGTGATGTTCTCATAGAGCAGAGGGCCACCTGGAGGGACAAAGCAGAATGTCTTCTCTGCTGCTGCCACAACCCTAAAAGGGTGCCCAGAAAACTGTCTGCAATAGATAGCCCAAGAGATGCTGAATTCACAGGGAACACAGTTGAACAAGGCAAAGCACACATAAAAAGCTAAATACATGTTAGGTCTCAAACCCAGCAATAAACTGCTAATTGAGGTACCTATTAACATGGCAAAGCGGACCCTGCAAGGCAGCCTAACCAGTACCTGGCATATCCTGTCCCCTAGCCTGAACTCTCCAGTGTAAGTGATTTGGCTCTATTTTCTACATTGATGTTTCATGTAACTTAATGCCAAAAATTATGAGACGGAAAGAGAGCAAGAATGTGAAAGAAACTGAAGCCAAGTCAACAATATTAATGGAAAAGGTTGATACTATTTTGCTTAAAGTACAGTACCAGATTCCACACGAACATTCTCCCGAACGACCGGGACACGGTTCTTCAGGGCTAGCACACCTTGCACTATCTTGTTATCTAGTGCTGGGTTTTTACCACAATTATTTATATTGAAACTACTTGGAACTCTTAGTGAATCTGTTAGATTTTAGTTTTACTCTGGCCTTACTGCATTACTTATAAGCCTATAAATTTGATTTATTGTTAATATTAAAACATCCAATCAAGCAATCAGTAGAAACTGACCTTGTGCCCCATCAAGATACACATCTAAGGCAGGACTCGGCTAAAAGGTGGCTATTCCGCTGTCTCAGGCATCACTTACCTTAATTTTTAGACATTATTACCAAGACTTAGAAAGGTAGATTTTTTTGGATTCTAAGACAATAAATTTGTAGAGCCCTAGTTTTCAGTATCACATCCTTTGGATAAGTAGAAAAACAAGTCGTTTGCTTTTACAAGTCGATGTTTCTTAAAACTTGTTGCCTTAAAGTTTTTGAAAACTACTAAATTGGATAGAATCTAAAGTCCACTTGAAACCTGACATGTGTGAGCAGGCTTTAGGAGTTGCCCAGACAGTTATGTACTATGCAGTAGTTTTCAGATTTATGTCACCACAACTCCTCCCCTCTATACTCCTGTTCTCTGTGCTCCTCCCTCTTGCCTCCTCTTTTCCTTCCCCTGGCAAACTCTAAGACAGTCCTCTCTGTTTTCTAGATCCTTAGCCTTGTGTAATCTTCCCTCCGCAAGTGTGAAGTTGGCTTGGCAATTGTTTCTGACTCACAGAATACAACGAAGGAGGTGGGAGGTCACCAGAGACTGCGACTTCTCCCTGGCTCACTGGCCCAGTTCACTGTCATCTCGGCTTATGTGCTTCGATTGTGCGAGTGGCTCTATTGCTACTGATTTAGCAAGGAACAGCGGGCATCCTCTCGCTGAGAAGCAGGCAGAACTGCACAGCCATAGCCCATCCATTCTCTAGAACATGAGTTCTGCCATCTGAAATGGAAGTATTCCCCAGTTTTGCTGGCTAGTTTTGTGCCAACTTGACATAAAGTTACAGTCATTTTGGAAAATGTGAACCTCAATTGAGAAAATGCTCCCTCCGGATTGACCTATGTGCAAACTGTAGAAAACTTTTCTTGACTGATGATTGGTGTGGGACAGTCTAGTTCACTGTGGACATGATACTCCAGGGCTGGTGGTCTTGGTTGCTGTCAGACAGCAGTCGGAGGAAGCCATGGCGAGCAAGCCAGGAGGCAGCACTATTCCACTGCTTCTAGTTTCGTTTCTGCTCCAGGTTCCTGCCCTCCTGTAGGAGGCATGGAGGTCTCTGTGCTCATAAATAAGAACTGGGGGGACCTGGAATGTTAAACTCACAGGCCTGTTCCTTCAAAGCAGGCAATGCATAACCTGTTATCTGTCCAGAAGGCTGGCATGGGGCATGGTTGAAAACCTGGTGACCTTTGCATTATTGTGTGGTGGGAGAAGACCACAGACCCATATCATAAGTTTGTTTTTCTCAGTCTGTAGAACCTCTCTTTATGGTCATTGTCACATGTAGTCAATCTATAGAATCCATCCTTATGGAAGGTGCTACATGTACTTTACAAAGAGTTTCAATGTAGTCACATCTGATCTTCGTTTATCTTAGTCTGTTCTTCAAGGAGATTTATGTATACTTTATTGTGCACACGGGAGAACATTTCTCCAAATTGTGCTGTGCTGACATATACCTAAAATAAACTATTTGGGGGTCAGGCTACCAGAGTTTGAATGAGCACGTGCTCTTAGTTGTGTTGAATTGAACTGCCTTCTTGCCTCCTGTGGACCATTACCCTACTGGCCATGGTGGTCACAGAGATCCCAAACCCTGAGTGAGTCCCTGCCCCATCTCCTTCCCACGATGGATGGTGATGTGGAACTAAAAGATGAAGTATAAACCCATTTCTCCACAAGTTGCCTTTAGTCATGATGTTTTATCAGCAACAGAGACCCTAACTAAGACACCAGCCAAGCCTCAGCCTCGATGTTGGGGTAAGCTTTGTGGGGGACCATGGATAAATGGTATTATCCATGTTGTCTCTGGGTTCTGAGACTCAGAAAAGATGAGATAACATATCACTATTGACATAAGCAGATGTAACTAGGTAAAACAAAAATAGTGACTCCCCCCTTACAGGCCTTCTTCATATTGCTTGGAAAGCATGTTCCAATCTATGTAACCAATTGAAATTCCTGGCCAAATTGCAGTACAGTCCTTCAAACTTAGAAAACTGTATATTTACTCTAACTTAGAAATGTAAAAACACTAATTTATCAAGAAAGACAAGATAACTATAGATTCACAGAAAAACATTTGCTTATATAAAATTCAAATAGAAATAGAACATGGAGATTAGTGAACTACATTGATTGTAATTTTTCAAGTGTTTATTATGCTCAGGTTTAAAGTACTTTACTTAATCATAATAAGATTATTCTTAAAATATGAATTTTAATATTACTATGCTAAAACATTTAGGAAGAAATCCCTATCACCCAATCTCAGCATGAGTGTTTGTTGCTGTTATCACTACTATTGAATTAGTTAGCTGTACTAGAAAACTGTATTAGATTCTGGTGCCAATATTAGAAAACTTGCTTTAATCAAGTATATTTAAAAAGGGCTTTGAGATATTAACTGTATCCCAAGCCTTGAGACAAGTAACATTCAAACTTTCACCTAAAAGCAGGGTGACGTATGTTCTTAAATATGTAGAATGTAGGAGACTGGGAGAATAGGCATCTCAAACATGCTTTTTATGAGCTAATATAATTACTACAGAGCATATAGAATTTCGAACAGAATTTTACCACATTTAAAAAGCAAATAAAAGAAAGAAAGGGGTAAGAAAAGAACCTTGCCGTTCATGAGGATGCAACCAATCCAAAGATGACTTACAGTAGCACACCAGACAGGGGAAAATGTGAAAATTAAAATACAAATGTAGTCCAATAGGCTGTAGTTCCTGGGGCCTGGTTTGATGGCTGCAGCCAACTTTTAACCACTGTGGAGGGAGATTTAGTCAAACAACTTAATTCTTCTCTCATTCATAAAGTATGTGCATGGCTCTGACTCCCTGGTTGCAACAAAACTCATCTAGGCAGTGTGCCTTTGTGGTCTCTGCTTGAGATTCATGGCAAGAGCAATGGATTCCCATAAATATCAATCTCACTAGGCATGGGGCAGAGTACAAGCTAAAAAGCCCTGACATGAGTACAACCCTTTAGGGTTTTAAAAGGACATTACACTCATCGTCTCCTGAATAGTTACCATCTTCCTTCACAGATGATGACTCCAAGGCACAGAGGGACTAAGGAGTGACATTTGCAGTGCACATCCTGTCATGTCCCATCTTGAAATCAAGCCTTCAGACTCCAAGTTCAACATTATTTCTGCCTCATCCCCAGTGACTCCGGAATCATTCATCAGCATGAACTTTGGAAAATGGGGATCAAGAGAATGGGTAAGTGACAGAGGTGTTTTCTGTGAGTCATCATGAATGTTTCTTAGGCTGGAGTTGCTTTGGGAGGTGGCCCCCAGTGACTGTGCTGTGTGAATATTATTAATCACTAACCCAAGGAGACTATGGACTCTTTGGAAACAATAGCAAAGGTATTTTATGGCACTTGTCTCCTGCCTTGCCCGCCACGGCATCTGCTTTCTACCCAGCCAGGGCAGTGTTCTGGGCATGGGGATTTTATGAGTTACCACTATTCTCTACTTGGATTCTATTCAAGTGTCTGAGGGCACTGCCACTGTGGCAGAAGAAGATTCACACTGTGTTACCAGCTCAACACGACTAACACACTTGAAGTTTCCTGAATAACAGAAGGGTATTGTATCATTCATCACCTTTGAAAAAAATCACACCTGAGTATATTCTGCCAATGAAGTGACTTATGGGCATCCTTGGATAGACTCAGAATGGGTCTAGTCCCAGAAGGACCAATGACTAGAGGACTGCAAGCGTCAGCTTGGGGGATGGAGGAGGGGGAAATCAGGTCTTGAACACCAAGTTTATATAAGATTGCAGTGGAGGCGCTGGGAGGGCAGTGTACAGAGAGTACAGGAAGATCTGTGTCCTGTGTGTACTTCACCTGGTTCTTCATTTACATCCTGCATGATACCTTTCATAGTAAACTGCTAAACTGTTTCTGAGTTCTCTGCCAAATTTATAAAATCCAAAGAAATCTTTTTATCAATTAATTTGCATATATATTTGCATATACATACATACATACATACATACATACATACATACATATATATGGTTTCATGAGACAGGGTTTCTTTATGTAACAGCCCCAGCTGCTGTCCTGGAACTCTGTAGACCAGGCTGGACTTGAACTCACAGAGATCAGTCCATTTCTGCCTCCCACCAGTGCTGGGATTAAAGGTGTAAGATACCACACCCAGTTCAGACTCTGTTATCTTTAAAACAGGGCCAGTCCTGGGACTAATCATCATGGATACTTTTACCTTCATTTTGTCCTCAGGGTTTATACTTTAGGCTATGTTTTAGGTACAAGTGTGTAATTAATGCAGTAGGTATAGGAGAAAACAAAGTAATCACATTCTCAACATGACTGTGGGGTTTAAGTGCTTGCCTGGTGCCATGTGAGACTTTGGAAGAATGATTAAATATACTCTTGAGAAACTGATACTGTTAAAATGAAGACTGTAAATTTGCTCAAAAATTATATATGTAAAAGATAATGGCTGTTTAGAAGTACTATTAACATTGTCAACAGTTATTGAAACAATGCTTAATTCTATGTAAAACCTACTTTTGCATTATTCTACAATTCTATTAATTCTGTTCTTAGATAAATATAAAAATCTGTTCTCTATGCTTTGTCCCAATTGTTTTACTCATAGAATGACTCTCTGCATACCCTTATACACCCATTCTGACCTATCTTTATGGCTAATATTATAGATCAGTATTGGGACGCTTACCCAGTATGCTCAAGGCCCTATATGAAACTTCTACCATATCATACATAATTAAAAAATAAAAATAAAATCTATTCTTAATCAAAGCCATGCTTGATTCTTTGTGATTCAAGTATCTTAAGTGAACTACCTCACCTGAACTATGTCTTCTCCAAGGTCCTTGAATATCCCACACTATCTAGCACTCACTAACTGACAGGACAACAGAAATAAGTTAGTGACCTCTCTAAGCCTCAAGTATTCAGCTGAGAACAGGGAGGACCACACAGTTCCTGTCTAATTCAAATGATGGAAGGAGTATTTAGAAACACTTTTGCAATGATATATATATCTGAGGCATTCTCATGTTGGTGTGTTGATTTCAGACAATTGCAGATTTATTCTTAATCTTAAGGAGAAAATGTTTTCCATCTCAATGGTGGATGGTGGTTTGAAAAGATATGGTCTCCAAAGACTCGTATATTTGAATAGCTGGTCCATAGGGAATGGCACTATTAGGAGGTGTGGCCTTATTGGAGTAGGTGTGGCTTTGTTGGAGGAAGTTTGCCCCTAGGAGGTGGGAGTTGAGGTCTTAAAAACTTAAGCCTGTTTACTTCTTGCTGCCTTTGGATCCAGATATAGAACTCACAGTTACCTCTCCAGCACCATGTCTGCTTGCATGCTACATGTTCCTGCTATGATGATAGTGGGCTTATCAAATGTTTTCCTTTATGAGAGTTGTAATGGTCATGGTGTCTCTTCAAAGCAATAAAATAATAAATAAGACGGAAGTTGGTATCAGGAGAACTGGGGTGTTGCTGTGATAGACCTGACCATGTTTTAGTTTGGAGATATATAGACATTGGGACTTTGAATCAGAAAAGCAGTTGAATGCTTTAAATGTGGGTAAATGAGCCATCTCTGTGGGAACATGGAAGACAGTGGTGCTGAGGGTGATTTGAATAGCAGGGGCCTGGCACAAGGGGTTTCTTCAGAGGAGAAGAAGTTTAATTTGTGGCCTATAGACTATTCTTGTGATATTTAAAAAAATCTGTCTGTGGCTAAAGTGAGGAACCTTGGATTATTTTATTAGCAGAAGAAAGCCTATTATTGAATCTCATGTGGTTACTAGTGTTCACTCCTATGCAGATTTATAATGAAAAGGAGCAAGCTGTGAAAGGAAAAATACAAAGTGTACAATTTGAAGAGGAAGGGGGTACCAGGAGGTGAAATGGAACTGAGTTCTGTGTTCAAGGAGATAAAAAGATTAAAGAAAATCCTGATGCTAAATAGAATCAAGGAAGTGGTGATCTCAGGGCAATATCCCACCCAACTAAGGTTCCAACTTTCAAAAAGGAATTAAAAAAACTTAAAGGTTTTCTCTGTCATACCCTCTTCCTCTATCTTCAAGGAAGTGAAAGCTTGCAGGTACTTACTACTTACCTTCCCTTAGGTCTCGACCTATGTTGGGCGGTGACTTTTTCCCCATTGGCAGTCCATGAACTTCTGCCCCCTCCATGTTCACTCCTAAAGGGACTCTGTCCATTCAAAAAAGTTGAGACTGAAGTTTAACATTAAATAAAGATGTCCAAAAGCAAAGAATATTGTATCTATACCAGCTTTGATCCTGAAGTGTATACTATTCACTTAGCTTTCTAAAGTGACATGCCTGTGCTTTTGTGTGGGTCTCAGCTTCTGTGGGATGCTGTTTCTCTATAAATCTTCTTTGCAACTTTTAATGAAATTAATTGCAACTCTAAGGACATTCCCTTCATATCAATCTATTGTCCCAAAGAACATGAAAAAAATGACTGTGTGCACCTTTGGAATTCTCCATGTTGTATTGTGTCTTGAACATGGACTTCATCACTGAATAATGCTGGAGTGGCGATAAACCATGTCCTAATGTAATGGTTGGCTCTTGACTATTCTGAGGAGAAAGACACAGTTTGTGTCAAGCTTTGCAAATGCACAAGTGAGAGTAGATAGCCTTTTAACTGACACAAACTGGGTACATCCAAACACTCCTATATGTCCTCGATTCTCTCCCAGTCATCTTATGTCACCCAAGGGCTGAAGGATTACAAGACTCTACAGCCTGAATCTTCCACTTTATTGTGGCAAAATTATAAGCAAGTCCCTTCCATTAGCATGTCCTCAATCAATTGAAAACAGGTCAGTTGGTCTATATGATTACAAACAGGTAACTCACGTGTGTGATAAGCTTAAGTTATTTACAAACATGTGAACTGACTGCAATTATATTAAAAATGAGTTCCCTTACTTTTGATTTGTTCAGTAATAACACATAGTCCTCTATGACTGATCTTGATTTCAAATGAATATAGTAAGGGAATTTCCCATCAGAAGACAAATTTTGAATATGTCAAAAATGCATTGTATGCAATTCTGAAAGTATAAAACAATTTGCGGGGAGTAATTCAAGAAAGGATTTCTCTGTGTAATATCCCTGTCTGTTCTGGAACTTGCTTTGTAGATCAGGCTAGCCTCAAACAGACATCTCCATTCCTCTGCCTCCTGAATGCTAGGATTAAAGGTCAGCACCACCCAGTAAGGATTTAAAAATTTTTTTAAAAAGCCAATTTAGTAAAATTTGTTAACAAAAATAGCATCCAACTTTGATCAATGATTAATCACAGGGAGTTAGCATTTGGAGACTTCCTGGGCTAAGTCCTTCATGTAAGAAAAAGTATTCACACACAAGAGAAAAATAATTAGTCATAAACCACACAGAAGACAGTGGGAGATCTGCGGCCATGACCCAGTTCCTAATGTGCAGCACAGAGGTTGTAACTACACCCCAGTTCCTTGTACCATCTCCTACCTCTGAACACTTTCTCTCATTTTACTTTGTTTTCCAAATGGAGGACTCACCGGTTCTCATCTTGCCGTTCTCCATAACTGACCCAGTAATTCTGTTTTCAGTTGAGAAAAAGGTATAAATTTATTACTAAAATATCATTTATATGCATAAAAATTTGAAATACTTGTTTTCTTTTGGTTTTTCAAGACAGGGTTTCTCTGTGTAGCTTTGGAGCCTATCCTAGAACTCACATTGTAGACCAGACTGGCCTCAAACTCACAGATATCCCCTGTGCCTACTTCCCTAGTTCTGAGATTAAAGGTTTGTGTCACCGTTACACAGCATTTAATATACATTTAATGAAATATTATGAAGGCTTGAAATACTCAGAAACTTGCACTGTGTATTGATGAGGTGAATGTTGATGCAGTTTTGTCAAAGGTACCATGGATAACAAATGAATCAAAAACACTGCATGGAATTAGTTAGAGCCTTGTTTTTTGTTTTTTTTGGTTTTTTTGTTTTTTTTTGTTTTTTGTTCTGCATAGTGACTTGAAATCTGGTAACAGAAAGGACTTCAGAGATCCTTCAATACAAGGACTTTGTGGATCATCAATAAAATCTGAACAAAGGAATCAAGCTGGACTATCTATGCAGATCCATGAAGGGAGTGTCATCATGTTCTGGTGACTCTTATGAAAATAATTCTTCAACATATTAAAGCAAAAACAAATATACTGTAAATGTTACTCCAGAAATATCACCTTAAAATAACCTGATTTTAATGCTAATGACAATATACCATAGTTAAGAAAAATTGAAAATATGCTGCAATTAGTGGTTTCCTCAACCGATTAACATGGGGTGATATATAAAACCATTCAGTAATCAATAAATAAGTAGAAAAACCCATACCTGTATAATTCAAAGAGGAAAAATAATACTATGTGAAAAGGCAATATATTATGAACTGGCCATCAGAAGAATAAAAGTTAGAATAGCAATGATGTAGAAATTGACACTTAATATGTATGAGTAGTGCAGGCACTTTTCCTCCTGTAAGTTTTGTAGACAGGTGCATTCATATGTCACTAGAAGCAAGGAAGGTATCAGAAGCATTTTCTTAGGAGGGCAGTTACACTTCAAGAACTTTTTCAAACCTCATACTTTTCATGCAGAGTGAGTCCACACTTGGAATTTATTCAACCTTAACAGCTCAATAAAAAGAAAAAAGGCCACTGTACTAATCATTTTTGAAAGAAACCAGAAACAACTCAAACATCAAAGGAGTGAATCATATATTAATTCCATGTATGTAGCGAAAAATACTTTAAAGCCTTAACAAAATGAAGATCACAAGTATCTCCTTAACTACAAACAAAAGCATGCATTTATCTACAGCAGCGATGAGGTTTGTAAAGGGTGCTTCTTCACAGGACAATGGGGGCCTGATGGGGGTCAATGCAGAAGCAAAGAAAGCACAGCATGAAGACTGACTCAGGCTAGATCTTCTGAAGGTGTGTTATATTGTTTAAAGGTTAGAAAACAAGATAACACTGACGCAAAGGGATCATGCACAAAATATTTGCTTTTGACTTTCAACCTCAGCATCATGGGAATCTATCAAAATTTTTAAAGTTCACCACATGAAAAACTTAAAGACTTCTAATCAGTTATTAATCTAGAGAGGTTATTAAAATCTCCAACTAATGTGACTGGGACACTTATACTTAAATATCCACCAAAAAGATTTTTATAACACTTCATTTTCTCACTTGGTTCTTACCGGTTCGGAATATAAAAATCCCAGACCCTCTGCAGCTGACTTTATCAGTTCAGATTCAAGGTTATGACGTTTGACAAACGCTGTTAAATCCTAGAGAGAAGAAGAATTTGTATTTAAATAACAACTACTGGACACCATAGATGCTCAAGTGGAACTTCTCTTTATAATGGCCAATAAGCTGACACAAAGATCAGAGCTGCAGAAGCAGCCCCCTTGGCAACAGGCTTTCACAAGCTAGCACCTATGAGAAACATGCTTCCATCATGGTTAAAATTGGAAAGAATTAAAATCTGGAAAAACCACTAAATCTCTGCGGGTCCTTAAGCACAGTGCTTTGCTGCTGTTGCTGTGATGGCTGTTGTTGCTGTCTGTCAATTGGTTTTTAATTAGTTCTCCTTGAAACACACTGCAGTTTAAAGAGAGTTCTCTCTACAGTCCAGTCTTACCTCTCGGGCTTCGATGGATTCTGGTTCAATGCTGTCATCTAGCAGGCTTTCATAGTAGTCTACATTGTCCAGGACATCCTCATCATCTGGATGGAACATCAGGTAGGCTTTGGCACACTCCAAGGCTTTCACATATTCACCAACTAGAAACACAAGGTGTTGCCACATTTGAGTCAGCTAGTGCTGCACAGACCACTTCAGGGGAAGACTTCTAGGTGTCTACTGACGTCAGCACTGACCATCATAAACGGGATAAACTGAGGCTGAGCAGAAAGATCGGCAGCATTTGCACAGAAGGACAGACACGGTTTCAGGTACTCAAATGGGATGACCCTTTGTTTGCTTCGGTCTGGGCACTTTGAGGAAATCCTCTAAACTCTATCTGAAAATGTTTATGTGTGATCCCTGTAATAGCACAGCAAAACTGTATGAATTCCCCATGACTTTTTTGTACAGTCTGGCCTAATTAAATATTCTCAGCATGACCTTCTAATATGATGATATAGTGTTTGTAAATAAAGGATGGGTGTAGAAGTGATTCCAAAGTGTTATTTCTTATCACTGGAAAGTGTGTTGTAAAATGTTGCTTCGATGGGGTAACCGTGTGAGGGTCCCCAGAGCTGAAGATGTTCTCTTCTAGCCCTTTCTCACACAACTGGAACAACCTTAACAATATCCAGTTGTTACAATGAGCAGTCCAGGATAGTTCAAATATGATTTTTTTTGTAGAAACATTTAACTATTACAAAAAGAAATGTTTAACTGTTAGGAAAAGTATGTTGAAATGCTATATGACACCTTCTCAAATAGGTCATACAATTAGATTTCTTTTAAAAAGACACTTCCTCTCTCTTCAAAAACATACACACACACATACATGTATAAACAAAATATACATAGACATATACACATTATACATAAACACACACATGTATACAGATATGTGTATGTATATATATATTCTCCATGTGTGTACATATTCTCAGAGATGGCTCTGAGTATAAAAGAAGGTATTCAGTATCTTTTCTTGAATAAAAAAAGGAAATTACAGCTATTTCAAATTACTAAATTTTGCCTAGAGGATTGTGAAATATCTAAACATTTTGTAATATATTCTGCTGATTATCCCTGGAAGATACAGCCCATATGGAGGAAAATTTGGTGATATGAATTAACTATTTGCACTTCCAGCTATGTGTCCTTCGACATAATACCTATAGATGTGTGCAGACATGTGTAAAGTGTTATCTTCTTGAAAGTTCACTGCAGGCACAAATGATCATAACCACAGAACTGTCCCTCAGTAAGAAGACACATAAAGTAAGTTCTAATACAATGGTACACAGGCTTTAAGAAAAGAGAGATCAGAAAGATGTCTCTGCACTCATCTATTAAAGTTGAATAATAGATTACTAGAATTTAATTTTGGCTTAAAATATGGCAATTTCTTATGCCTAACCTACTAAAATTTAACGGGCATGTATTAAGTAAAAAACATGATACAGAAAATACTATAAATAATATGCTGCCTTCAAGTAAAAGAAGAAGGAAAATTCTGAGTGTATTTGCATATATATATAATTTCAGACGTATAAAACACTCAGTTGAAAGACATGCAAGTATACTATGGATACAGAAAGAGGAGGAGGATTCTAGAACACTGGTCCTTTCAAACATGGGGATCCAATCCTGCTGAAAGTCAGTTGAGAAAGCAATCTTGCAAGTCTAGTGTAAGTTGTAGGATGTTATCACAGTCAGTCCTGTGCTTCATCTGCCCCCAGTGTCCTGCCTTGCTTGCTCTGAGCTGCTGCCAAACGGCAAGAGAAGAAAGTGCCCAAACCTGCATCACTTTGGTGATGCAATGAAAGAAAGCAGGGGTCCGGATGGTGAGCAGATGCCAACAGCTATGTGGGATATCTGGGGGCCAGTAGGCCCTTGCAGGCCTAATCTGTATTAATCCAGCTATCTGAGCTTGCAGTATGTTAACTGCTCCAAATTGAGCCAACCTAGGTCTGCCAAGGGAGCCCCTAACAACTGCTGCTGTGTCATGAAACAAGCCGACCTGAACCACGAGAGACCCGGCTGCAGTGTTGCTATCTCCCCTCCCCTGGGCAGGTGGAGGTTTATAAGGTTTTCCCCTTCCTAAAATAAACTGGGCTTGCTACATCCAACTTGTCTCCCGGAGTCGGAGTCTGTCATCAACTCTATGCCTACTCGCTCCCTCCCTCAGGCGGAAACTCAGTGGGACAAAGCTGCAATCAGGGGTGAAGAGGAACCCCCAAAGGTCTTCATGGATGATCCATACTTTACCTCTGTAGTATGCAAACTGTAGGTAGTCGTAATGCAAGGGAAGAAAGTTCTCAATTGGTGAGAGGCGGCCTGGGCGGGTGGCAAGTTCCCTCACACACTCATGCTGACAGACCAGCACCTGCATGTAGTGATCTGGAAGGCAAGAAAGAGAGGGTGTGTCCTCACCCTGGCCAGGGCAGCACTTTTACAGGTCATACTTTACCAGAGAGAGAGAGAGAGAGAGAGAGAGAGAGAGAGAGAGAGAGAGAGAGAGAGAGACAGAGACAGAGACAGAGACAGAGACACAGAGAGAGAGAGAGAGAGAGAGAGAGACTTCAGACAGACAGTGGCTTGTGACATCATCTTAGCCATGATCACTGGACAGCACTGGGTCCCGAACCTCTGCAGTTCATGTGCCAGACTTCCTGTACATAAAGCCACAGAGTGTAGGCTGTCTCTCCAGACACGCTGAGCTTCTTTTCAGATGCTGCAGAGGGTCTGAAATGCCATGGAACTGAGACAGGACAGTCACATCCTAGTGATCTAGTGTTTAGAAACTGGAACAGTCATAGATGCAGGAAGTTCAGCAAGGGAAACAGAGGATTCAAAATCCCTTTGCCTGCCAATTTTCTTTGTAAATGAGAAATGAAAATGAGATTTCTTGATATCTATTGCTCAGGACCCAAATCTATCCAATTATAGACCAGACTCTCACTGGACACCTCATATTCTAATATAGGGGACACTGTTTTGACAGAGTAACAAAATGACAGAAACGATGGCATCTAAAGAATTAGAATAAACACTGTCCTCCTTGCACCCTCTTTAGTGGTTACTATTCTCATTTAAAACAGTTAAGATGCAGAAGTACAGGGTATTCCATGCCCCTTAGCTCTACACTCTATTTTGTCAAGGCACGTGCTGAAGAAACACAAGCCGCTAATGTCACAAGGAAACTCCCCTTCCTCTTTGCCTAACTTTGAATTCTATAGCAAAGATGGTGTAATGTTTTCCAGGGAGAGAATGGTTCATTCATGCTTGGGTTGAGTAGGCTCCCTGGCAGTTGAGAAAATTGATTTCATGGCCGCACAATTTAATTGGCCACAACAGCTTCTCTCAAGTGGGTCTCTGTTCAGTCAGAGTTCATCTTGGATCTGGGTAATTTTTCAGAATGAGATCAGTACACAGGAAGGAAAGGAGTATTTGGATGGGAGAGGCAAACATGTCACGTAGAACAGCTAACAGACTCAAAACAACAGCCCACTGATCTTTACCTTCAGTTGGAGATATGGAGAAAGCAATGAGATCTGCACATACAAGTGAATGTTAGGAATAAAACACTAGTGGTGTTTCATATTTTATGAGGACAACAAACATCCAACTATCACTCCTCCATAATCCAATCCTTTTTACCTTCAAATCTATGTTTACTCTAATTCAGTGGTTCTGAACCTTCCTAATGCTGGGACCTTTTAATATAGTTCTTCATAATGTGGTGACCCCCCCAGCCATAAAATTATTTTAATTGCTACTTCATAATTATTATTTTGCTACTGCTATGGATTGTAAGGTAAATATCTGATGTGTAGCATATCTGATATGAGACCCCGTAAGAAAGTATAGCTCTACCCCCAAACGGGTCGTGACTCACACAGATTGAGGCCCACTACTCTAATATCAAGTGACAAGAAAAGGCAAAAGAGAAAAATGCACCCACCAACAATTCAAAAATCTGAAGGAATATATTTTAAAAGTAGAGTATAAAAAACAAAGATAGTCTTCTGGCTTCACAAACAGAGCTGACTGCATGAAAATTTCCATTAAGTGGGCATTTGTATTTTCCTCCAACGTTAAGTTTCTTCTAGCTCTACAATTCAAGTGTTATGGTTTTCCTAATATATTCTCTTTTGTGAATGGCAACTTAACTCCAAATTGAGGACAATCAAGTAAGACAAGAATTTGCAGGATGAAAGTCATCAAAGTAATTTTATTTGTTGTATTCTTTTCCTTTAATGTCATTGTGAAATTAATATGTTTTTTAAAATAAGATTGAGATTCAGAACAACTGTGTGAGAATACTTTTAGGTTTTTTGCTACAATAAAGTGAGCATGTTTCAGATTTCCAAGAAATCTTACCGTATTTTTATAATTGTGAGCATTTGGCTGGGACTGCAAAGACTATGACTTGTTTTGAACAGTTTTTTTCCTTTTTTCTGGCTGGGAGCTGGGATGCTGGTTGTGGTAGTTAAGAGTCAAATAAATTGAATGTGGAGACATCTGTTCTTTCCCAGCAGCCAATGGGTTACAGTGTCTTGACCAGCACTAAATACTAACCCACAGAGAGATCAGTTGCTGTAACAAGATCTAGATCATGAACATAGACAGCATGATGCAGAGGCAAATATGGGGCGAAAGGTAGGGCATGTCATTCCACAAAACCACGGCATAGCAAACTGTTAAATAAACAGCTTATATATGTATATATTTATGCAATACTATAAATATTAAAGAAATGGCTAGCTCATTTCCCTTGAAAAACACTGGGTGCTGAGGAAAAATTAAGTAATTACACTGTAACAGACACACAAACTTGACTTTGAACTGAATGATGTTCTTAAAAATACAGGAAAGTGAAAATGGCAGATGCCCAAGGAAATAAAAGTTTTGGGAATAAATCCTAAAAATAACGCATGCAAGTATCTCGATTTTAGGTAACTTAAATTTACTTTGGATAATAGAGCACTTGAGAGTTTGATAATTTAAAGCAGTGATTTTGAGTGTAATAGATATATTGATTCCAGTTTACATTTTGTAGCTATTCTCTAATTAGCTTCTAAAAATTTCACCTTTATTTATAACCAACATTATCACAAAGCACAAGGCATTACTATCACATTTATCTATATATAGTTATTGGTGTATAAACCACATCCTTTATTCTTCAATTCAACACATTCACTTAGCCAATATTTATTAAGTAGTTATGGGATCTTCCAATCCCTGAGGAATAAGGACTGAACAAGATAGGACACTGGCCACATGATACTGGAAAACAAGAACAGAGAGTAGACTGGCACATCCAAAGAATTCAAAGAACAGAACTTGAGAAGGCAGGAATGAAGGGAAAATGCAAATATGCATAGGAGAAGTTCTTCAAGGTTACTGGCTTTATTACAAGTGGAATAGCCATGAGGGGAGGGATTTTATGTACAGGAGCCCTGTTAAGGCAGAATTTGGGCTGTGTATTACAGCACTGTCTGAACTGCACACCAAGAACAGGAAGGAAATTATCATGGGGGCTTGGTCAAATTGTAGTTTTGATTTGAGTAAAATCCCCCTGGCAAACAGGTTGACTCAACAAGTGTTAAATGCCAGGTGAAAGGAACATTTGTCCAAGTTTGGTAACAAATGTGATGGATTTCAGAGTTGAAGAACTTGTTAGACTGAAAAACCACTTCCCTGGATTGGGTTGAGCTACTAAGTAAGTGCTTTTAAGGGAGATACAGAAACTTTTGAATTGGAAAGATAAACTGATTTAGTAACTTCCACATCATTTTTCATGATGAATGTCTTGGAATAACACATCAATATATATGCAACAAAATTTTGGTATTGCATAAGTTATTCTTTACTTGGTTTTTGATTATGTTGACTTTAAAAGTATGAACTCTCTATTTAAAAAAAATAACCCTGGGTCTGATTCTTAGTTTGTTTATAGCCACCTCACTCAGTGGTTCTAATTAACAAATTCCACACCTAAAGAGAGCAGAACCTCTTCAGTGAGGTGGCTGAACAGCATACAGAGATGCAGGTTTGTGTGAAAAGTCTTCCTGAAAGGTCAGCACCCACGAGGCACCTGTGATACCATCAAAAACAATAAAAACCAGCCCTTGGCTGTGGAGACCACAGGCCTAGGCTGGGCACCTACTGCCATCGAACCTAATACATTGTGCAAAATGCTTGTTTTGTCAAACTGCCCTTTAAATACTGCTTGTATCCATTAGTTACTGCTGCTCATGGCTTCCTTCATAGAGGCTGCTTACTACACTGGGGTGGTGGTGGTTAATGAAGGAAACAATGAGTGGCTAAAATACAGATAATACATGATGATGGGGTGCTTATCTGTACATGACAGAGTTATCACATCTCCTCTAAAAGCTCAGGAAACATCCTGGATGGTATGGGGGATGTCAAAAAGAAATAAGAAACCGAGGATGGGAAGATGTGGAGTAAAAAGATGTTTTCTGGACATGACATAGCCTTTGTACTCATGAACTCACTGTAGCTGTGTTTACTTGCACAAGACATGTGCAATACTGGGACAATCAAAATTTCATCAAGGTGGGAGGAAAAACGTATTAGGGTACTGGTGGTTAGTGGCTTTTGGTAGAGGAGGTGTCTTCTTAATGTAGCCACTAGAAAGCCTTCCTTCTCAAGAAGTAATTTCCCCGACATGTTCTCGTAAACTCACTGGACCACACACACACACACACACACACAGAGAGAGAGAGAGAGAGAGAGAGAGAGAGAGAGAGAGAGAGAGAGAGAGAGAGAGAGAGAGAGAGAGAGAGAGAGAGAGAGAGAGAGAGAGAGAAGAGAGAGAGAAGAGAGAGGAGGGGGAGTAGGAGGGGCCTTTTCAGAAGGACTTCAGTTGGAGAAGGAAGTAGGATCCTGCAGTGAGGGGGTGGGGTTGAAGGTGAAGGTGGGTAGTGGCGCCTCTGCAATCCTCATGGCCCTGGGGCCCCAAACTTTCCATTTCACTAACCAGAGATGTAAGCAAAGAGCTATGGTCTTGTGGCCTGCTACCACAAGTGTATAAGCTTAGCTACTTGGGTGTCTGGTGTGGGGCATTACAGAATCCATGCCTGCTGGAGACAGAGTGAGTTCAAGGCCAGTCTGGGCATTTAGAGAGACTAGAATCCCATGGTAAAAAGCAAAAGGAAGGATAGTGCTATAGCACAGCAAGACAGTGCTCTCCTAGCATGCATGTTACCATGGGTTCGATCCTCAGTATTACACAAAAAAAGCAAAATTACTATGCACAATTACTACATACGCATTGGTAATCACTACTACTAAAAATTGATAGGCTAATTACAATAATAATATTTTGTAACTTCCCTTTAATATGAAATGTATTAAATTTTGTGTATAAGTTACTTGAGAATATTGTTCACTTGCCTTTGTAACGAATTTGATTCTATAGGTGTTTTATGTAGATTATGGTTTCCACTTTCTCTTGTCTTTTGTTCCATATGAAGACACTCCACCTCTCCTCTACTATATAAACACACTCTTACAGGTTCTCCTGAGAGGAGTACTAGTACACTTATGTTGTTAATACAAATTGTGTATTTTTAAATGTGCTATATACAGAGAACTCACTTCTCCTGATAAAATGTTAATTACCCAGTATCAGCAACTCTGGAATATCACACATTGTCTACTATTTTGAACAACATTCTCAAGCATAGTATGCCAATTAATTGCACAGGACGGTATCAAAGGATTCATTGCTGTATTACTTAAAATACTGAAAAACTGCAACCATTTCAGTATTCATTAGTATGGAGCAATATTTAAAATGATTGTCACATGCCATGGGTGTTATCTAGTCCCTACATACAACAAAGTGAATCCACATGTACTTACATGAGAAGTCCACATATTGTTGTTAGGCATAAAATAAAATAAAACAAATATGTTTAAAAGAAATACTCATAGTACTTTCCTATTTTTATATTGAAGAAATAAATCAATCAGTCAATAAATAAATACACAATTATTAACAAATACACCAGAAGAAGTTGGGAAGAAAAATCTCAAAATTTTAACTATAAAAATTAGCAGCTGAGGACAGGGTGGAATAGACACATGAGAATCTTTCACGTTTTACACTATTTACTACTACGTACTGTATCATCAGAATATTTTTACACATTTTCCACAGCATTTTAGAGTAAACAATGAACAAAGCCAAGCTTTACCTGCGATTGCCTCGTAAAGACCGCCTTTATACCCTAAGTACTCATACTCCTCAAATCTCTGTGGTCCCTCGCATAGAGCTCGGCACTTCACATCTTCATTGTAATATTCTCTTAAAGCTTGTTCAAAGTACTTGATTGCAGCTTCAAAGTCATCGGCCTCATAGTGTTTAACTCCTGCATTATAGCTCTCCTGCAAGGACACAGACACAATCTTGTTTGTAAAGAGTGGGATGTACACAGACCCAGGATCATTTAGGGAGGCAAGAGCAGAACTTTGTGCTGCAGAAGGTAATGGTCTGTCCATGTGACTTCCATAGGTTCAAATACTTGTCAAAGAAAGGGAACCTATAGCATAAGTCAACTACTGCAGTGTCCATCAATCTTCTTTCTTTCTGCACATAGACGCTGGGATAGTCTATAATCTCCACTGCAGGGAATGTGTGGAAGAGCAATGGGATAGCTAATGTGGTTAGCAGTGTGCCATCCCTTGCATGCCTTGGCCCATTAAATCTTCCTTCCAGAACATTTCTCTAACTGTCTTCTCAGCAGTAATTTTGGAGGTCACACATTGAGAATGGTGATATAAAAAAACAGTGGGGGCCTTTCAATGTGTGATTTCAAATAATACTTTATCATAAGAAGAATACTGTGGGTTTTTTAAACTCCAAATTGAACATTTCAGGTACAAGGGAAAATCCTCCAAGTTAGAAGACCTAAGACAAATAGTGTAGCTATGAACAACTCACACTGGCTTCACTTCTAGGTGAAAAATAATATGTTAAATGTCAGAAATGGTAGCTGAAATCTGTAGTCCTAGATAGTAAAATGGCTAATGCTTATTTGAGTCAGCCACAGCAACATAGCAAGACCTGGTATCAACTAACAGTTATCTACAGAACATTCTGTCCAAGCACTAAAGAATATACATTCTCCTCAACAACTCATGGAACAGTTTCCAAAATAGGACTTGTATTAGGATACAAAGAAATGACTCAACAAATACAGGGAAATGGAAATAACCTTCTGATTTCTACCTGACCACATGGTATAATGTAAGCTATCAACAGCAGAAAAACTAGCCAAGGCACAGAAACTCACTGAGACTAAACAATACACCACTTAATAACATGTAAGTCATTATATCATACCTCCTTCTTCTCAGGCTCAAGGACCAATACAGAATGGGGGGACAGAAAGAATGCAGGACACAGAAATCGTGAAGGACTAGGTTAAAGCAGTGTCTTGTGGACATGATAGACTCGCTGCACCCATGAAATAACAGCATCAGTGACTGATTGCACAAGACTGGTACAAAACCAAGTCACTGAACATTCTACCATGAATTGTGGAGGGTCACTTGTGACCCCAACTCTAGCTCAGGAGTCACTAAGAGTTGATAGCTGCTGGGGGAGATATGTTTTCTTTAGAGATATGTTCACTTGTCGGTAGGTGCTCTAGTGCGTACTCCATACCCATGCATATATGGGTGGCACTCATAGGTCTGCATAGTTTATTTAAATAAAATAAAAAGATGATAAGAAGGTGAGGAGAGGGAGGTATGAGAGGGTGGTCAGGAATCCGAGTGGAGTTGGAAAGGAGGAGTAGGGTTGAGTATGATTCAAAATCATTGAATACACATATGACATTTTCAAAGAAGTCATAAAAATATTGCATTAAAAATAAACCACAGTGCTAAACAGAATAAGAAATGTCTAGGGAACTTTGTAAACCATGTTCAGCATCCATAGCAATCAGAAACATTATAATAAAACTACTGTAAGGTTCCATCTTACACCAGTCAGTATGGCTGTCATTAAGAATAGCAACATCAGCAAAGGTTTAGGTGGATGTGGGCCTGGGGAACCCTTGTACCCTATGGGTGGGAGTGTGAGCTACTCTGGAAATCGGTCTGGAGGATTTTAACAAACCAGAAATAAAACTATCATATGAGCCAGGCATGAACTCCTGACTACTGACAGAATCTGGGATGGGGGAGCCATTACCTTTAGTCATGCAACCCCTGCTGGGTCAACCAGTCTCCAACAAAAAGCTCCAAACTCTGGTCATGCAGACTGGCACTCTTAATCTCAGGGTCACAAAAGAAACAGACATGGACATGAATGTGAGAAAGAGATCAGTAGAGAAGGGGGGTAAGCAGTGGTAGGAGGAAGAAGATAAAGTCTGGGGTAAAAGTGGTCAGTATGCATTTTTTACATTGGGTGAAACTGTGAAATAATAAATTATTTGTTAAAAAATATGGTGTGAAAAACGTCAAGTAAAAGGCAAGACTTCATGGAGGAGACAGATAACTTCAAGGAGCTTTAGCGTCCTCCATATCCTGATTTTTCTAAGAGAATTTTCATTTATCCTAACTTTAATTTTAATTATTGAAATTTTAATATATAATATCAAACATAGTTTCACCCCTGCTTACAATATTTCATCTGAGGGTTCTAAACATATTAAAGGGAGTGAACATTGAGACTGAACTTGATATATGAATCCATTCTATGATTCAGCTTGGAGCCCATTGAGCAGGTAAGGTTGGCTTCACATGGCAGGGACAGGGATCCCCAGAACTCACCAGATGTGGCCTGGCTTCTCTGTCTACCAGCTGGACTGCTTCCACCCCTGCGGTCTCTCTATAGTCCTCTATGTTCTGCTGCATTTCCATGTGCTCAGGGTTGGCCATGAAGAATGTGTGGGCTGCTTCCATAGCCTTTTCCAGTTGGTTAAGCTGTGGAAGAAAAAGGAAATGTTTTGTAGACTTGGTTTGGAAAACTAATAAGATCACTCCCAGATCTCAAAGGAGAGAAGTAGTAACAAAAGGATTCCAGGTAAAATACACACACACACACACACACACACACACACACACACACACACACACACACAAGCATACATGTACACACAGAGAGAGACACAAACATAGACACACAAACACACATAATATATTTTCTACCAGATGGTATTCTTTCATGCTGTTAATAAACTGTTTATGAGATTATATGGGGCTATTTGGTTCTAGTGAGAGAATGGGGTTTATTCCCAGTTTATTCTCTTCCCTTATTTTTCTATATATCTATGTTTTTAAGAAAGTGGGCTATATCCTTATATTTGATTATTCAAAACAAATAGTGGCCAGGATTGTTGCCCTTTAGTTCATATTTCAACACTGGGAGTTATAACTTCATGTTAATGAGAGTGGAAATGCATCTGTGACTTTCTAAATGATGGGACTGGGTAAACTCTCCTCCCACCATACTAGTCCTTAGCTTTAGAGAGCAAAGAATAGGAAGTTGAAAGAAGTAAACTTGTATGAGGCAGAAAAGAGGCTAACTTTGTAACTTTAATGTTCATTCCTGCAAAGGGGTAGATTATTTTTAATTATGTGCAAAAGTGCTGGTGTCCAACAGAGGGTGAAAGATCTATGGACCTGAGAGTACAGGCAACAGTGAGCAAACTGAAAATACAGGCAATAGTGAGTAACCTGGGAGACAGGCAGTAGTGGGCAATCTGAGAGTACAGGCAGTAGTGAGCAACCTGGGAGACGGGCAGTAGTGAGCAATCTGAGAGTACAGGCAACAGTGAGCAATCTGAGAGTACAGGCAACAGTGAGCAAACTGGCCTAGGTTCTGGAAGCTGAGATCTGCAATATACATATATGTTCTTAATCATGGAGTCATCTCTACAGCACTGAAAAGCAACAGATTTTGAACAACCATTGTGTCAACATTCCAAAGCCGCTTTGAGTTGGTCTTCATGGTGAAATAAGGAGATATTTTTATCTAAGAGGATAAAATTTCTCTGACATCCTTCCTCTCCCCCCATGTTCCTAATTTACTCAGGAGATCTTGTCCCTTTCCCCTTCTCAGTGGGTTCATCATTGTCTCTCTTAGGGTCCTCCTTGTTTCCTAGCTTCTATGGGGTTGTGGATTGTAGCCTGGTTACCCTTTGCTCTATGCCTAAACCCACTTATGAGTTAGTACATACCATGTTTGTCTTTCTATGTCTGGAATACCTCACTTAGGATGTTTTTCTTCTAGTTTCATGCATTTGCCCAAAAATTTCAAGATGTAGACCATGTTGGGGAAAAACACAGAAACAGCTGACCTGAGCAAGTGGGAGCTTACTGACACCAGACCAACAACTGGGGAACCTGCGTAAGACTGAACTAGGCCTCCTGAACGTGGATGTCAGTAAGGGGCCTTGGGCAGTCTATGGGGCCGCTGGCAGTGGAACCAGTATTTATCCTTAGTGCATGAACTGGTTTTTTTGGAGCCCACTCCCTATTGAGGGGTACAGCCTAGATACAAGAGGGTCTCTGCTCTGCCCCAAATGATGTGACAGACTTTGATGATCCCCCAAGGGAGGTCTCATCCTCTCTGAGGAGTGAATGGGGAGCAAGATGAGTAGACAGTGGGGGGGGAGTGGGAGGGTTGGAGGGAGAGGGCACTGGGATTGGTATGTAAAATAAAATTGTTTTAATTTAAATTAAAAAATAATTAAAAAAGAAATACTGAATTCAGAGGTACCCAGCCATTGCATTGTGGAAATACACACAGAACCCACTTTCACAATAGAAAACATACGACCCTATTTTACAACCTAGTTCACTTCCTTTTCATATACACTTCGGACCTTTTTTCTCTTAGATGTTACCCTGGACTACATCACAATGCGCACCCCACCCACAAATATGACCAACTTTGGACCTGTTTTCTTGTTCAGTTTTACTTTTCTCAATATAATAAACACTATTACATAGAAATATAAGATATTTGGGTATCTGCGGGGTGATATGTTTATGGGAACCCAGAAGATGATCAAATCCTAAGTTGTGTATAAACACAAATATATTGGTCAAGTGAATGTGAAAAAGGTTATTTAAATGTCCCTTTAAATGTTTGTGCTTTAGATACACAGTGAACAAAGACTGTGCTTATTAAAAACTGTACACCCCAATAGACTGAATGGATTCAGATGAATTAACTGCCTTTTGTGTGAATGTCTCAGCAAAAATTGCACATAACTTATAAATGAACTTTCAATTCAATAATTGGGTTTGCTCCTATTACCAAAGCATAGAATGCATACTGTCCATGAACACAGCATTTGTATGAATACAGTGTGTACTTGTGCTCTATGGAAACTGTCTCTGGGTAACAGCCAAGCTATCAGTGATGAATAAAACAGGTTAGTGCGGACACACTGGACCTGTAGCTCGAGGCAGGGACACTGACAGGACAGTTTGATATTTCTGAGCCTCACTTTCTCACCCTTGCTGTGGAATAATCCTTTAGTATGCTGTGAAGACATGCTGCTCTCATTGTTAACAAAAAAATTGGTTGGCTGATAGCTAGGCAGGATTTTCTGGGCAGAGAGAATTCTGGGAAAAAGGAGGAGGAGGGTGGGGTCTGAGGAGTCCCGAGCCAGATGCAGAAGAAATAACATGGGAAGTTCCTAGATGAGGCAAATGAGACTTGGGGCAGCACATAGATTAATAGAAATGAGTTATTTAAGTTATAAGAGCTGGCTGGAGACCAGCTTAAGCTACAGGTCAAGAATTTATAATTAATATTAAGTCTTTGAATGGTTATTTGGGAGACATAGAGAAACTCTGCCAAAGCACCCCCCCGTCTTGGCTCAGGCTGGTCCACTGAAAGAGAGTATTTGTCCATGTGCTTTGGTATATTTTTTTCTTTCCCTTCTGGAATGCAACTTGTCCCATTAGGTCAAGCTTGAATACTGTCTGAAGAAATGTTTTTTCAGACCTATTGTGACAGGAAAAGAACTTCAGTATGGCCTTATCCCTGCACTGGGACTTACCACACTCTGTCCTGTGATAGCCAAGTATATTCATGTGAATGGCTTTCTGTGGAAAGGAACCTATAACTCATTCATCTTTCTTAATATTTTCTATGTATGGTTCAAATGTGCAATTGTCTACGCAAAGAGAAAAAGAGGTATTATGTGTGAGTGTAGCTCACACACTAAGCAGTGCTAACGGCATGAGAATGTAACGAGAACATTGCTGAAATCACTGTGCACACTCATGTTCTCAATGCAGATAATCACAGCTGAGCGTGAGTGTCATAAGGGGTTCATCAGCGGTGACCATTGAGCCTTTTCTTACATTGATGGCAGTGACTGTGTGCTTGCTTGTTTTCATTCCTTATAACATAACCCAGAACAGAACACACCATCCTGCATGCGTATGTATGTATGTATGTATGTATGTATGTATGTATGTATGTATGTATGTATGCATGCATGTATGTATATGCAGGAGATTCTGTGGCCTAACACTGAACCAGAAAATGTCTCCATGCTCTGCTCCTGGCTTTTAAATCACTGAAAACCAGTTCATGAAACTAAAATTGTCTGCCAGAATCTATAAATTCAACTATCAGAGTAACCGGAGGCTTTGTGTATTTGTGCTTCCTTTTAGAGGGACATGGTAATAAAAGCACAGGCGGTCATGGAAATGCTACACACAATGCCATTTATTGGGTGAAGATTGTAACAAGGCCTGGTAAGCACCAGAGTTTAGCTAAAGAATGAACTACCCACAAACCCAGGTTGCGTCTAAAGGCTCCTGTGGGATTTCCCTTAAGACGTAGTTATAACAAACCATAGAGAGGGAACTCTGAAGTGAGGCTCACTCTGTGAAGTAGAAAAATAAACTGTGGATCAAAGAGCAACTGAGGGAAATGGAACGTTGTGACAAGAAGAGGCCGCCCCAACTTTTAACTGCCCACTGGAGCTGGGGGAAGTGTGGGGAAGAACACCCTTCTCAAAGAGCTGGCTCACGTCACTCAGATCGTGAAGGAGGACAACTGCCAGCCTAGAAGCAGGAGGGTATAGTGCAGTCATGCTGTGTGGAAAAAAGAAATGAATGCTGATGACATCGGCACACTGTGACCATGTAGAAGTCACACTGCCAGGCCAGTGAGGGAATGCAGTCATGACAGAGGTCATCGTCCTAAAGATGGCAGTTCTAAAGACATTGCAGAGCATCCAGTAAATACGCATGCAGGCACCTGCAGGAGCCAGCTACCAGTCACAGAGAGACCTCAGAAATGGCACTATGGCATTTGACAAATTGTAGATTAGAGTTAGAGGTGTAAGTCTAACTTATATCATGAAGCAAACTTGCCCAGATGAGCTGAACTTTCATACGTTATATAATTTACATGGAAATCCAGGAACCCAGTCATATAAGAGCTCTTTACTTCATCCACACGTGTATTTGGCAAACATTCATTTTGCACACTCTGTTACAGACCCAGAGAGTTGATGAAAAGATCTATGAGTCCTGAAGCAAAAATGGCCTTGCTTTCTAGATGTTTCCAGGAGGAGATCAACCGCAAGTGATAATGAAAGTCATGTATGCCCTTGCTAGGCATCTCAAGGCATAGATGACCAATGATGCTTGTGTTGGGCTGGAAGAAGAGGAATCCTATGAATAAATTCCTCAAGGAAGTTGCAAGGCAGTTTCAGGGCTGAAAACTAAAATCAGGGGATGCAAACATAAGAATAAGAGAAGAAAGCCCACCTCAGGAAAATGCTTAAAAATGATGTGCACACAGACCCTGAAGTGGGAAACAAAGTATGCTTGAAAAGCAGGGCAGGGCATAGCGGAGGAGGGAGAGCTGAGTAATGGGGGAGGGAATGGCTGAGAGGTTATGCTAAAGTCTAGATGCCACGCTAAGTGCATCAGGAAGCTAACTGTTA